GTATGCATGTATGCATGTATGTATGTATGTACATATGTATGCATGTGTGTACATACGTATGTATGTATGTACATCTGAATGTATGTATGTATGTATGTACATGTGCATGTATGTACTTATTTACGTATATATATGTATGTATGTATGTGTGTACATATGTTTGTATGTACATACATATGTATGTATGTATGTATGTATGCATGTACGTACGTATGTATGTATGTCTGTACATACATATGTATGTATGTATGTATGTATGTATGTATGTATGTATGTATGTATGTATGTATGTATGTATGTATGTATGCATGCACGTATGTACTTATGTATGTATATATGTATGTACGTATGTATGTGTGTACGTATGTATGTATGTATGTACATACATATGTATGTATGTATTTATGTATGTATGTATGTACATACGTATGTATGTATGTATGTATGTATGTATGTATGTATGTATGTATGTATGTATGTATGTATGTATGTATGTATGTATGCAAGTATATATGTACGTACGTATGTATATATGTATGTATGTACGTATATACGTGTGTATGTGTGTATGTGTGTATGTGTGTATGTGTGTATGTGTGTATGTAAATACGTTACATTTAGCTAAAAATTCACAGCATGAACTAAAAAAAACATTTCAGCTGTTTCCATTTATTTTTGTATTTTGTTGAGGTTTTAGATAAAACACCTAAACCTCTAAAATCCTTGTACAAACCTGTGGAAAAAGGGATTTCTTTCTTAGAATTTTTTTGGATTTAATTTTTTATTTATTTTTACATCAATGAGTTTTATTTAAATACAGACAAATCAAATTCCCTGTATCTTCCCTGAGAGGGTGCTCACTTCTCTCTGCATGGTCACAACATTCAGCCCTCTGCTTTGAAACTGAAGTGCCCATCAAACTCCCCGTCCAGAAAGATGGCCTTGAGGAAGAAAAATGCAACATTTTCAAATTCATGTGTTTACTCGTACACTGCCGAATGTGTATGATTTCTTTTTCGTCAGTGTAAGCAGCATAACTACCAGTAAGCATTTTGTTCAAGTTGTGTGTTAAGTTGTGTGTTGTTTTGAACCAAAGTGTACAGCTTGCACATTTAATTGGACTTTTCTGATAAATAAGCATCTGTAATTTACCTGTTTTTCAATTTTACCAGACATGTCGGGAGTTTCTGTTTCTATAGTTCATTGATTAGTTAATTTTCTTTCCTTCCCAGAGTTTATTTTGAATCAATAATGAATCAGTTGTAGCTCACTATGATTGGTGAGCTCTGCTTACGGCCATATGCTTAGTCTAAGAGGATTAGTTGACTACCTCGCTTCTCAACAACTCACATACAAGCATGCACGTTCATTGTGCCTTCTGTTTGGTATATAAACACCCCAGTTTCATCAAATATATTCATGGTTATTGTTAGCAGTGATAACACTGTTATTAGTAAGTGTCAGTAATGGAAACAAACAAACAAACAAAAAAAATACATAAAAGGTAAAAATATGCATGCATTTTGTCTGTGCAGGTTTTTTACACTGAAATGAAGAATGGTCGTGCAGTTGGTACTGCATCCATCATGGAGGTTCCCCTCAGTTTGGACATGTTAACCACAGTGAGTATTCAATAAGATGTATTTTTTTTATCCCTGCTTTTGTTTAGAGGTTGCAGAAAATGCACCTAACTCAACATGGTGTAACTATTGATGCCTATTTTTTACAAATCAGTGATGTCGCCATATCCCTCTATACCACTCTATACCACACATAAATAAATAGTGCCAGTGCTACGGAACTGTACAGAATTATGAACAGGTTCATTGGCACATCAAAAGTATAATTATCATTATTCATTGCTAGAACAAACAGGACAGCCACCTCTTTGATCTCAAATAAAAATTGTGGCCTTGGATTCACCTCTCATTTACACAGCACATACAATTCTAATGATAAGTTATGTATTATGTGGCTACACCCCATGATTTTGTAGTCATGCAGTAATATTCTTCCTGTCTCTGAGCAGAATAACAAGCTAATGACAAGTTTGAGCAGGATCAAGACAAAAATGCATTGATTGTGATTAAATCAATGGAAATAACTGTGCAATAAGAAACAGACATCAATGTGAAAGTTTTAAGTTAGTGTTCACATCAACAAATGTGAGTTATTTTGTTGTTGTTTGAAATGGCAGTAATCCACTTTTGTCTTCTATCTGCTCAGACTAGATGTTAGTTTGTCAGTCTGGTCATAACTATTTTTTTTCCCCTAAATTTGAGTCATTTTAGTTTAGTTTAGTTTATTATTTTTTGAATATGTAAAAAACAAACAAACAAACAAAAAAAAATACAGCATGAAGCATAATGTCAAAACTTTTTGTTTTATATTTTCAAGGGAGTGGGTAGAAGTATAAACATCAAAATGACCACTCCTTAACCACTTACATAATCTTACATTTATTACTTGTATAATCATACATACATTATAACAACTAACCAATATTTAACCCATCAATATAGTATCTATTTAAGTTAACTATAGTAGTTGAACAATTATTATTCCTTTAACTTCACGAAAAAAAACTAACAAACAAACAAAAAGCATCAATAACAAATAACAAAAACCCCAACAATAATTGAATAATAATATTATATATTATATCCAGCAATAATCATATTTATATGATAATTTGAACAGTTTTATGTTTGGACATTGTCTAAGGGAGTGGTGGCGCAGAGGTTAGAAGATGGGCCTGTGATCGGAAAGTCGCAGGTTCAACTCCTGGTACCGTCAACACCAAAATGTGGGTGGAAAAGGTGAAACACCCACACCACCCTCCCCCCTCATTCGCCCCACTCTGGGCCCCTGAGCAAGGCCCTTAACCACCACCATCTGCTCCCTAAACAGGTCTCTCTTGAAAATGAGTTCTCGTGGCTCAATGAGACTACCTGTATAAATAAAGGGTAAATGCAAAAGTTCAATTTTCATCATTCAATATCAAGACACCAATATCAGAGCATTAGAGATTCTTTGTCATTCAAAGAGCTATTTACAACAGGTATAAATGTTCATAACTTTTTTACAGAGCCCCGGTTAAAACATTTGAACTGTCACTTTAAGTTACAGAACAGATTCTGATGCCCTGAAATGTAAATGCTGTTTCTCACAGGGGCAATTTAACGGACAAGCCAGCTTTGTGAGTACCTACCCCTCATGTTTCTTTTCCACTGATTGCTTCCTGTCTAAATGACCCTACTGCCTCTTAAATCACCTTTCAGTTTTATTTGACAATACCTAAAATGATCCTTGTCCTTGATGCACCTTCTAGGATGTGAACATTGGAAACCTAAAGATGAACGCTAAGTACAGAGTCAGTGTTGGAGCTTATGGATGGGCAGGGGAGGGCAGGCCCAGCATGCCCAGAGACATCAGTACTGCCTCACATGGTAAGAACAAGAGATTTACAGCAGATGACATTCTTTTTCTACAGTGATGCTTTTATTTTCTTTCTCCATCAGAAATGTGCATGCCCCCATCGCCTCCAACTCAACCTGTAGTCATGGCGGTGTCAGACACAGAGTTGGCGTTGTCGTGGCAGCAGGGAGAAAGTGAAGGAAGTGCACCTGTTCTTCACTTCCTGGTGGCTTACATCAGGTCAGTCATAAACTCATCTAACAGACAGAAAAACAACAAAATGGAGATTCAGATGAGGTAAACAGTCATTATAAACACTCAAGCTCACCAGAAGTCACCCACATCCACCAACCAATTTGTACAGTACAGGTACTTACTGTGTAAAAGAGGAAAGTTTCAAGTGGCCTTGTCATGAACAAAAAAAAAACAAACAAAAAAACAACTGTCCTAAATGCATTTTGTTCCACAGTAGCAAGGAAAAGCCATAAAGACAAGATTTTAAAGCTTTCTGTTCATTTCAGCTGATAAAATCATCTGTGTTTGAAAGAGCCTGGATGGTTCCTAAACAAAAACCTCTTGATGATTAGAAATCAGTGCCAACATTGGACCCAAATATTTGGGAGGGGCAGCTGTGGCTGAGTGGTTAGAGCAGTCGTCCTCCAATGGAATAGCTGGAGGTTCGATTCCACCAGCAGTCACATACTGAAGTGTCCCTAAGCAAGACACTGAACCCCTCATTACCTCTGATGTGCGACCCTTCAGTGTATGAATGTGATAAAGCTCTGATTAGTCTCTTTAGAACGATTTGTTCGATTAGCTTTGTAGAGATGCAGTAGAGTGCTGTATGAATGTGTGTGTGGAGCTAAATGAGAACACAGATTGTGTTGTAAAGTGCATTGAGGATCTTGGTTAGATAGAAAAGCACTATATAAGTACAGTTCATTTACCATTTAAATGACACCAAATGTGACAGATTTAGAAATCAATTTAGAAAAATGCTACCCGGAGTGGTTTGGATTTAACTTCATGGCAGCAGTTCAGATAACATCTCATACTAATAAGGTCAGGAAACATCTTATATCTATCAAATTCTTGCAATTGAAATAAAAAATGTCATAAGTCCCGTTTACATTTTAACAGCTACAGTGTTATTTTAGCACAAAGACTGACATCAGAAGAGAAAAGTATTCTTGTTTTAACAGGAAAACACTCCTCAGTTGGACATAAAAAGACTTTCTCTGGGTTCAGTGCTCGAAATGTCTCAAGTAGAGGATAAAAAAAAATACAAGTTGCAGTTACTTTAAACTACATTGCTATTTTAAAAGAGCAACTTTTGCCTATAGCATTAAACTTTGCAATCCATCCCCACATTTTTTAAATTAACTTTTGATTACATGCCATGTCATGAGGATGTCAAAGCCTTTTTGCGTAGACCCTTAATAACCATTTTTATGCCAGATGCTCTTCCTGACCCAACCTTTATCCACTGGTCTCAGCAGCAACAAAATGTTAGTTGGTTGTACACGAGTTACCATTTGGTAGATGCTGTCCCAGCACTGACGAGGTGTCTGGCAGGAGCTTAAGTACACCATCAAGCAGTCCTCCTCAGAGCAACAGCAGGTGGAGTGAGTTATAGGTAATTGGCTGTAGAAGGAAGAGTGAGTGACAGGCAAAACCCAGGAATCTCACATATATCACACAGTGAGAAAAAATGTAGCAAAAACAGTTAGATTATAAGGTGATGTAGAAAACTAAAAACAGGAACATGTCTGCATTTGTTCTTGCAAGGAACTTAACAGATGTTTGAAGCCACTTAGAGAGGTCAACATTGAGAGCTTCAGATCTTTTTGCAAAATATTCCAGGAAACAGGACCGAAGTAGGAGAAGGCCCTTTTGCCTAGTTTAGTCCTCACTGAGGGAACACTGCATGTAATAATGTCCTGGGAGTGCACATCTTTTAGCCATCCTATTTGTAAAAAAAAAACAAACAAAAAAAAAAACTGCAGTATTACTTTTCATAATTGTTTATTGTTGTTGCTGTTGTCCATTGTTGTCATCTTTCTTTGTTGAAATCAGGTCTCTCTTGTAAATGAGTCCTCGAGGCTCAATGGGATTTACCTGTCTAAATAAAGGTTGATTGATTGGTCTACTACAGCCCACATGTGTAAAGCAGACGGCTGCCCTAGTCACCCAGGGGAGATGATCGGCTGGAGGGGGGGGGGGGGGGATTAAGAGCCTTGCTCAAGGGCTTAGAGTGGGGTAAATGAAGGTGGAGGCAGGTGTGAGTTATTCACCTTTCCCACCCACAGTTTTGTTGTAACCGTCAGGGGGTTTGAACCCAAGCTTATGTCAACTAAGTTGGAAAAATACTTTTGGTCTGATTCTTCTGGGATTCCTAACTTTTGTTAATTTACAGATCTTAGAACTGACCTCCAAAGTGTCCATGAGCTGCCTCTGAGTTGTTTGTTCATTCACTCAATTATCTAAAACATATTTATTGCTCACTGCAGGTGACACGCATTCCTTCAAGAACAGAATAAAATAGATACCTTATTAATCCTAAGGCATCAACATGCATACATACTGTGCATCCCAAACATAACATGACATGGAAAACCCCACATAGAATCTTTAAACCATAATTATACTTTAAAAATCAATAATAAAAAAAACCCTTGCTAAAAACACTTTAAAACTACCCAACAAAGTTCAGTCAGGTCATCTGGATGGCTTCTTTTTTTTGTTGAGATGCTTTGTCCTTCATCTAAAGGACTTCATCAGTCTGAGGAGCCACAACAAACTGAGTCCCACAAGCGGCACACTCCCATAGTGGGCTCAACAGTTTTATGGTGATAAGATGGTTTCTGGGGCCCGCCCTCTCCCCTATCGGCTCCTCTGAGACAACCATAGCCAAAGTGGTTCAAAACATCAAAGTTCATGCTCAATAATTCAGGTAGAAAATCTAACAAAGTTCATGATGTTTTGAATAACTTAGGCTATTGTGGCCTCAGGGAGAGGGCGGACCCCAGAGATCATCTTATCACCAAGGGCTTAGAGTGGGGCAAATGAAGGTGGAGGCAGGTGAGCTGAATGGTTAGTAGTCATCCTCCAATGCAAGAGTTGGGAGTTCGATGCCACCAGCAGTCACATGTTGAAGTGTCCCTGGGCAAGACACTGAACGCCTCATTGCCTCCGATGTGTGTCCCTTCAATGAAAGAATGTGATAAAGTACTGATTATTCTTTGTATTGATCTAGTAGACTGTTGTATGAATGGGTAAATGAGGACACAGATTATAGTACAAAGAGCTAAAGAAAAAGCTTCCTCCTGCAGCTAATCACCTGTTCTCGTGCAGGGTGGAGTAGTGGGCGTGGCCAAGAGCGCTTGCAGGTGGTAAAGAGCAGAGGAGGCAGAGAGCTGAAATCAAAGCATTATGTGGTCTTTAAGAGCGTTTAGAGTTTAGTAACATTGTTTAGAATATTGCAAGAGTGTGGTAAGGGTTTAAAACACCTTTATGGATGAAAAAAAAAAAATATATATAAACTACTACTTACTACTTGTACTACTATTTACTATTCCTACTTTGCGTTTTTTCACTTATCGCGGGGCTTCAGGGTATGGATCCCGCGCAATAAACAAGGGACTACTGTATAGTCCATTTACCATTTACCAGCAAATTGGTTGTCCACCATGCGGGTGTGCTGCTTGTTGGACTCAGTTTGTTGTGGCTCCTCGAACTGATGAAGTCCTTTGGATGAAGGATGAAACATCTACAAAAAAAAAACAACCAAAAAAGGAAAAACTTTCCAGATGACCTGACTGAACTTTGTTGGATTTTCTATCAGGATTACTGAGCATGAACTTTGAAACTTTTAAACTACCTTAAAGAGCCACAAAAAGCTATCAAAAATAAATAAATAAAACCTGTAGAAACTTATATTGAAGAAGCTCTGCATCCTCCCACCAACCCTAGGGCCAACTGGAGAGTCAGTTTACCAAAAGTGGCGTGGCGTACAGGCAAACTGCCACTGAATGCACCGCTGTCCTCTGGAATGGTCTGCATGCATCTTTGCTGGTCTGTTCAGAGTAACCACTAGTGTTTTGACAGAAGGGTCATCTGGGACATGAGAAAGAACGAGTTTTCTGTTCCTTCTATTAGTTTTCATCCTCGCACGCACACAAAGGAGCTCACTTGTCTAGACTGCAGAGTTAAGGAAGCTGATGTCACAATTAGGCAGCTTGAAACCCTTTGATACAGCAACATGTGGAGAGAACTTAAATGTTTTTTTTTATTATAAAGAAATATAAGAAAAAGCTGTTGCATGTGAAAAGCTAAAACATTTTTTAAAACTTGTGTTGTTGATCCTTGCTGTGCAGAGCTAACGCCCACTGAAACAAACAAGAGAAAAACAGAGAAACTGTCTGTTGTTGTGAGGGAGCAGACATGAATATGAGTCTGTTTTTTGTACATGGGGACATTTTTCTCTCTGAAGGGCCATCTTGGCTGCAAGTCTTTCTCTCCTTACATCAAAAGAGACTCTATTGAAGAGACGCATTGAACGTTCAAGTTCGGTCTCATAAAAAACTAACCGCAGCTTCAGCTTTATAGAGACAAAGAAGAAATAGGTTTTCGAATAAGGCTGAAGAAAAAGAAACAAATAAAGGAATGAACTTTGGATGACATGTTTGAAAATTGTTTTACCCTGAAAGTCCTTCATAAGACTGCTGCATCAATCACTTAGTTACCCCATTTTAGTTTTATATTTGATCGTTAAAATTTTACAAAACGATTATATTTCATGGACGTGCTAATAAAGATTTGGACCCTTTTATTAGGATATTTTGAACATATAACATCCAATATAAACTATTAAAATACGAACTGTAACAAAATCATGAAGCTGCATCAACTACATTGTATTTCATGTTAACAGCAGCTTTGATCTTTTTCAACTAAACTAAGAAAAGCTGTGTCGACCCCTGCAGAGGGAAGCAGGTGCAAAATAAGAAATAATAAAAGTAAACAAATGCCTTAATCTTTTTGCTTTTTATATTACCTGGCTTATTGAAGACAGTCAGAACAAATAGTGCAATTAAACAGTTTTTTTTTAATGTGTGCGTTTTAAAGTAATTTTTGAGACTACTCTGTAATGCTCCTTTTTTACTGGCAAGAAATAAGACACAAAATCAAATAAAAAGATTTGATCAAAATGTCTTACATGCTCTGAGGTTTCAACATTCTCACAATTGGTGTAAAGTTTACATTTTATTAGCACATTATTGTTCTGTTCATTCTTATTTCCTTACATTTCTAAGATTTTTTTTAATTTTTTACTCAGGCCAGAAATGGACACAGAGTGGACAAATATTCGCGAGCCCATTGAGACCAACTCCATGGTATTGAAAGGGCTGCTACCGGACACAGAGTACCAGTTTGTTGTCAGAGCCGTCAACATGCACGGAGTAAGCCCACCCAGCCACATCAACAACCCTGTCCGAACACTCGGTAAGGCCAGATGTGGATCTCTGAGCCAGTTTCACCATAAGTTTAAATAATTAAAAAAAAGGTCTAGGTCAGCTTTATTCACAACTTAACGAAAATTCTATTTCCACTTAGTTTTAACAATTCCCCATATTATGTATAATTGTAATAAAAAACACACTTTTGTTTCCAGAAGTCCAAAAACATGCACATCACCTCTTTGCCAAAAGCACCGCACACCAAAACGTGTTGTAGAGTTTTGTGTAGCTCTGCAGTTCAACTTGCAGGACTTTGACCCAGACTGGTGTTTTGGTGTCAGTGGGTCAGTGGGACAAGGTTCTTCATTGAAAAAAAAGGCAAAGCAACACATTTCTTTACATAATTATTGAAGACAAAGGCAGCTGCCAGTTGATGAAGGTCTGGAAAATGGTCAAATCGGACTGATGTTAAAACACATTTTCATGTGTGCACCACACACAAACCCACACACAGAACATGAACACTTTGACACATGTGACTCAAAGAACATGACTCTTAACACAACGAAACTGACATGTAAACACATTCATGCTGTGAAGCCTACTCTATTAACACTTCTAGGCCAAGGTAACTAAAATCCACACAGCCTGAATCGAGTACTACTCACCCTTTGAAAGACAGGTCGTATTATATTTATTAAAATGTTAAAAGTTGCATGAAACATGAAAAATTAACCATTTTTATGCTCATTAAGTAACAGACTCACAGAGACTTCAGAAGCGTTGCATCTCAGCATGGAATAAAGTGGGTTAGGAACCAGTTTTATTAGACAGGATTAGGGATGTCAGCCCCCCCGGGCTCGTCCAGGTTCATGGACGTACATGCACACAATGTGCCTCTGCTTGATGAAGCTTAGAGGTCCGACTGACTGACTCACCTTCCCTGTAACTCTCTATTAGGATTCTTATCAGTTTTTTTTTTTAATCACAAATATTGTGCTGATAAGGAGGACTGTTACACAACAGATTACTTTGTCAGGACTAAGCCTCCCTCCGCCTCCCTGTGCACCATGCAGCACTCAACAGGTTTTAATGTTATTAGGTGGTGCCACTCCACTTAGCAGTTTGTTCTCTGCATTCAATCAGGCTCAGAAGTTCAGTTTCCATAATGTACACAAAGACACAGTTGTTACTCTGACACATCTGACTTTTATTTAGCCGACAGGTGAAATAAAACAATCAGATACAGTTTACTTTGTTTGTTAAATGAATTAATACTGAGCTATACTAACAAGACATTTCCCACAGATGTATGAGAAAAAGTTGACATGACGTAGATAAATAATACTTTTAAACTGCTGTAAAAGGTATTTTAGTTCTATCTGTTTTTTCATTGGATTAAAAACATCTGCAAAACTGTTCAACATTTGCAACAGTCTTAAAGTTCTAAGCTATCTAAACTCTCTAAAAGAGCACAGCAAAAGAGAGCAGACAGACTGACGCTACGGTTACTGAGCCAATCAGCACCCGGGATACAGAGTACAATGCTCTGGTTGGTCGCCTTCCATCAATCAGCCAATCATGTGTCGTGTACAATCTTACCTTGAAAACCCGTGAAACAGTGAGTCCACGAAAGTCGAACCGCGAAGTACCGAGGGACTGCTGTACATCATATTTATTTAGACTTATCATCTTGAAATTTTGTGTTGTTCTTTTTTTTACACATTAGAATAAAATGTCTTTTTACCGTTCCGCTCCGATGTTTGTTACAGGAGTATCAGATGTTGGCAGCGGGGATTTTGACTTTCATGTGACAAACTCCAGAACCGAAGATGAAGATGAAGATGGGTTTGACTTTGACGACTCAGATTATGATGTATTTATTGAAGAGGTGGGTCTTACCTGGTGTGTGAGATGTTTGACACACAGCTTACATGAACCTAAGACAACTGGCCATAGATTGTCCCCATTAAAAACAAAATAGTTGTTGTTTTCTTTCGTTCCTTAACATTTCTAACATTAACATTTCTGTATTCTAGTTGAAACCATTTCCAGGTGTCAGTGAGGGTGATAAGAAGTCCCAGCTCCGTTCACATCCCGGTCCACCATCTGGTCAAAATGTTGTTTACCGTATGAACACTGCAGACCCTCCAAATGTCACTGAACAACCTGTTTCTACGACCACCTCGTCTGTTCTCATGGCTTTCACAGATTTGGTTTTGTCCGTCACCTCTGAGATGAGCAGTACTTCTGACACCATGACCACTGCTCCACCTTCCACCAGCAGGTGAACTTTATGCTGTGGGGGTTAGCACTGTTGCTCTGCAACAAAAACGTCTCCAGTTACATCTCTGCAAGTCACCTTCATATACTCCTTGAGCCTCTTAGGCTAGGTCTTGTGAATCTATATTGTTTCTTTTAGGGATGCACAATATTATCGTCATGGTATCAGTATCAGCCGATATTAGCGGTAAAGTTAATATCGGACATCGACCATTCCATTTAAAAAAACCATTACAAAAGGCTCCAGTTTTAAGTTTGTTTTTAATTTAAGAAACAGTCAAGTACAATATATCTATTAAAGCACTACTACTTATGCGCTTTTCACTTGAGCTCGTGAACAGGTTGAGTTTAGATTTGTGAAAATTTACAAATTTGCACTGTTCGAGTGTTGTCATTGCGTTAGAGAGAGAGTAAATGTCATGAATAAATTTGACATTAAACATAATCCAAGTTGAAGTGTTACATCATTTTCAGCCCCCCTTTTAGCATCTGCATTAGGTAGCAGGTCAAATTGACAAAGACCATGCAGAATAATGTATTTTAATTCCACAGCAGAGAAAGCTATGTAGTCGTTGTAAGTGCGTAGGTCTAGGAAAAAAAACAAAAACCATTAGTACTGGTATCGGTTAAATATGTTTTAACATATCGGCATATCGATATCCAATATCATGCATCCCTAGTTTCTTTCTTTCAGAAGACTGAACTAATTGAGCTTTTATTTTTCTACTTTTCTTCAGCGTTCCTTTTTCCTCCACCCCTGCCAGCCCAACCGTCTCCTCCTGGCAGGGGGAGGTTCCTCGTGTTTACGGCCTGAGCTGTGATGAAACGGTGTGTCCGCCGGAAAGTTTCTGTCTCCCTGATAGCGAGAGTGGAGGCTCACGCTGCCACTGTAACCTCGGACGAAGAGGCAACACCTGCTCTGAAGGTGAGAAGTTAAATTGAGAAGTATCTGCCTCAATTCGATTTTATTAAATTTTTACATTATCTTACAATAAAATGTATATGATTTCATAGACATACAGCAGGAAGTTGAACTGTCTTGGGATTAAGATGAAATTGTTTTGCACTTTATGTTTCATCCATCTGACAAAACAATCATCATTTTATAATGTTTTCATCTTTTGTTCCTCTTTAGCGGTAGCCATAAACTTTCCCAGGTTCTATGGCTACTCTCACGTGACCTTTGAGCCCTTGAAAAATTCTTACCAGACATTTCAGATCACTTTGGAGTTCAAGGTAAGACCTTCTATTGTTTTTTTTACATTTTTTTCTTTACCTTGCTATTCATGAAAATGTATTTAGGATGTCCTTTTTATTCTGGAACAGGCAGAGTCTGAGGATGGCTTACTACTTTACTGTGGAGAGAATGAGCATGGTCGTGGTGACTTTACGTCTTTAGCTTTGGTTCGAGGCAAGCTTCACTACAGGTGAGGGTATCATCTAGTCATGAACATTATGCTTTTAGATAGAAATGCAACAACTCACTTTGATACATTTTATTTAATGCCATATTTACTATAAAGACACAATAAAATAATAAAGTGTAACAAGTTGCTCTTGCCAGTCACCATTCTAATAGTAAAAGTATTTTGTATAACCATTGAAAATAACCTAATGTTTTGTCATACATTCCATTTCTTTTTTTATGATAATAAACATTTATAACTGCAATCATTACAAAACGAAAATATGAGAATACTAACACATGCACATACAGGATAGTATATTTTAATAACAGCTGGTAAGTAACAATACTTACAAATCCAGTTGCTGAAGATAATTTTAATCTTTATTTTTATCAGCCTTTCAACCACTGACTGTATCACTTTACACATTTATTTATTTAGAATAATATGGTTGTATGCAAGCTCAAGTAACAACAGCAGCTAGCAGTAGCACAATAGTTTTACTGGAGTAATTTTGTTATGCAGATCTGATGGTGATTTAAATATCTCTAAAACATTTACATTAAAAATATAAACGTTTTAGGACTGAGTGAGTTTCAATACAGCAGCAATCGACTTTAGGCTTGTCTTTCCTCAGACTAGCCATTAGCTCATCAATTTGATCATAATTGCACACTATTTCCCCGAACTGAGATTGTTCCAAACGCTATCTACAGCAGGTATGATATTTACTGTTAGTAAGAGTTAAACTACAAAACTGAGCTGAACAGATGTTCACTGCTGGCTTAAGTTGTCCTCCAGAAAACATCAAACACAAACTGAAGCTCGTAGCAACAACAAATAGAACGATTGAGTCATTTTAACTCACACACCATGCAGCTGGATCTTTATGGTAATCAATGTAACAATTAGCGGTTTGATATTTGTCTCTTTAGGTTTAATTGTGGAACAGGGCCTTCTCAGATCGTCAGCGAGAGTCGCATTGTTTTGGGTCAGTGGCACATAGTAACTGTTTTCAGAGATGGCATGAGTGGATGGCTCCGTATGGACAACGACAACCCTATAACTGGACGCTCGCAGGTAAAAGATGTAAAGTACAAAACAAAAACACCAAAAGAAACCAAAAGTACAACATTTAAGTTCTAAAAACTGTCACTTTGCTCACTTCAGCCTGTCTCTTTCAGGGTCTGTACACTAAGATTACGTTCCGCTCCCCGTTATACGTGGGTGGATCTCCGAGTATTTACGGGCTGGTCAAGGCGACGGGAACTAATCGTGGTTTTGTGGGCTGCGTTCAGAGTCTGACCATCAATAACAAAGTTATAGACATCAGGCAGTGGCCTCTCGGCAAAGCTCTGAGTGGCGCTGATATAGGTGAGGAAAACAGGATGTTTACCGTTTCTGCTTCCTGATTAGTAAACTTTACATTTTGTTACTCATTTACTTTAATACTTTTCTATTTTATACTCAGTCATAGAGGAAAAATGTTTGCCTTAAAAATGAATTCATGTGAGAACATGTATTGAAACATACTTGATCATTTATTACTATAGACGATTTTCAGATTGTGATTTTTTTCTTCAAGGTGAATGCAGCGACAGCGTGTGCGACGTGGTCAGCTGTGCCAACGGTGGAGTATGCTTTGCAAACCGTGCTGATGATTACATTTGTCTGTGTCCACTGGGCTTCAGGGGAGCCCTTTGTGAAGAGAGTAAGTTAAATGCATTGGCCTCTTTCATTGCACGCAACGTGCACACTGGCTGTGTTTTTGTAACTGCTTCAACACTAAAAAATGTCAGCTTCCACGCTGAGCTTTTATGATAATTATGTAACAGATTAAGAACAAATTGAAGAAAATTGCCTAAAATGAGGATGATTATTTCTTACATAAAAGGAGAGGGATTGATTGCATGTTTGTGTGAACTACTTTTCAACATTTTAACTTTTCTGTTTTTTTCTTTATGCCTTTCCTCCAAATTCCTTTCTATTCAAAACACCTTTTCTTTTTGTGTTCTCACATTTTTTGTCATTCTAATGGTTCAAAATCTTCCTCTTTCTTCCCAATTGGCATTTTAAAATCTCCTCCTTTCAACTGTTCAGGTTTCTTGCTGTCCTCACCACTCTTCAATGAAACAGTGTTTTCATACGCCGTCGTCCCCTGGCCTCAGTTCTCTCAGAGTTACCTCTCCTTCATGGAGTTCGAGGTGACGTTCTGGCCGTCCACGCCTAACGGGGTGCTCCTGTACAGTGATGATGCAGACAGCAGAGACTTCCTGGCTATAAATTTGGTGGACAGATTTGTAGAGTTTAGATTTGACTGCGGCTCTGGAGAAGCTGTCATCAGGTAGAAGAAGGATCCTGTCTTTTCTCAGGCTGAGTGTTTTCTAACTCGTAGTAAAATGTGGGGTGAAATGTGCTACAGGAGTGAGGAGCAGATCAGTCTGGACTCATGGCATGAGCTGAGGGTGTCTCGCACTGCAAAGAGTGGCATCCTGCAAGTGGACAGCCAAAAACCAATGGAGGGAATTGCTGAGGTATTCATTCCATCATAAAAGACAAAAGCAATTTTATAAACATATAGCCTTTAATATGCACTTAAAGCAAGATTGATAATCAGTGTCTTACCAGCAGTAAGAACCTCTCAAAGCATTATTAGTTTGGAAATTAAGACAAACTTTGTTAGAAAAAACAAGCTAAAGGTTAGTGTAGGGTGGTTTCAAAACTATTTTTTGCCTTAAAACACACACCCAGTCTCAAAAATGTCATAGCACTTCCTGGAAGCACTTTTCAAACTCTCACACACCCCATTCTGACTGTTGTTTACATTGATCCATCCATCCATCCATCCATTTTCTTCCGCTTATCCGGGGTCGGGTCGCGGGGGTAGCAGCCTAAGTAGGGAGGCCCAGACTTCCCTCTCCCCAGCCACTTGGGCCAGCTCTTCCGGGGGAATCCCGAGGCGTTCCCAGGCCAGCCGAGAAACGTAGTCCCTCCAGCGTGTCCTGGGTCTTCCCCTGGGCCTCCTTCCGGTGGGACGTGTCCGGAACACCTCACCAGGGAGGCGTCCAGAAGGCATCCTAAACAGATGCCCAAGCCACCTCAACTGGCTCCTCTCGATGTGGAGAAGCAGCGGCTCTACTCCGAGTCCCTCCCGGATGATCGGGCTTCTCACCCTGTCTCTAAGGGAGAGCCCAGACACCCTGCGGAGAAAACTCATTTCGGCCGCTTGTATCCGAGATCTCATTCTTTCGGTCACAACCCAAAGCTCGTGACCATAGATGAGGGTGGGAACGTAGATCGATCGGTAAATTGAGAGCTTCGCCTTTTGACTCAGCTCTCTCTTCACCACGACAGACCTGTACAGCGCCCGCTTCACTGCAGACGCTGCACCTATCCGCCTATCGATCTCACGCTCCATTTTTCCCTCATTCGTGAACAAGACCCCAAGATACTTGAACTCCTCCACTTGGGGTAGGACCTCCTCCCTGACCCAGAGAGGGCACTCTACCCTTTTCCGGCTCAAGACCATGGCCTCGGATTTGGAGGAACTGATCTTCATCCCGGCCGCATCGCATTCGGCTGCGAACCGCTCCAGCGAAAGCTGTAGATCACGATCTGATGAAGCCAATAAGACCACATCATCTGCAAAAAGCAGAGACGCAATTCTGAGGCCACCAAAACGGATCCCCTCAACACCTTGGCTGCGCCTAGAAATTCTGTCCATAAAAGTTATGAACAGAATCGGTGACAAAAGGCAACCTTGGCGGAGTCCAACTCTCACCGGGAACAAGCCCGACTTACTGCCGGCGATGCGGACCAGGCTCTGACACCGGTCATACAGGGACCTAACAGCCCGTATCAAAGGGCCTGGTACCCCATACTCCCAGAGTACCCCCCACAGGGCCCCCCGAGGGACGCGGTCGAAAGCCTTCTCCAAGTCCACAAAGCACATGTAGACTGGTTGGGCAAACTCCCACGCACCCTCCAGGACCCTGCTGAGAGTGTAGAGCTGGTCCAGTGTTCCACGGCCAGGACGAAAACCGCACTGTTCCTCCTGAATCCGAGGTTCGACTATCCGACGGACCCTCCTCTCCAGAACCCCCGAATAGACCTTACCAGGGAGGCTTAAGAGCGTGATTCCCCTGTAGTTGGAACACACTCTACGGTCCCCCTTTTTGAATAGGGGGACCACCACCCCGGTCTGCCAATCCAGGGGAACTTCCCCCGATGTCCACGCAACATTGCAGAGTCGCGTAAGCCAACACAACCCTACAACATCCAGAGCCTTAAGGAACTCTGGGCGGATCTCATCCACCCCTGGGGCCCTGCCACCGAGGAGCTTTTTAACCACCTCGGTGACCTCAGGACCAGAGATTGGAGGGCCCGACCCAGAGTCCCCAGGCTCCGCTTCCTCAGTGGAAGACGTGCCGGTGGGATTGAGGAGGTCTTCAAAGTATTCCGCCCACCGACCCACAACATCCCGAGTTGAGGTCAGCAGCAAACCACCCCCACTATAAACAGTGTTGGTGGCATACCGCTTCCCCCCCCTGAGACGCCGGATGGTGGACCAGAAACGTCTCGAAGCCGTGCGGAAGTCGTTCTCCATGGCCTCTCCGAACTCCTCCCATGCCCGAGTTTTTGCCTCAGCAACCACCCGAGCCGCATGTCGCTTGGACTGCCGGTACCCATCAGCTGCTTCCAGGGTCCCACAGGCCAAAAAGGCCCGATAGGACTCCTTCTTCAGCCTGACAGCATCCCTCACCGACGGTGTCCACCATCGGGTTCGAGGGTTGCTGCCTCGACAGGCACCGACAACCTTGCGGCCGCAGCTCTGGTAAGCCGCCTCGACAATAGAGGCACGAAACATGGTCCACTCAGACTCAATGTCCCCCACCTCCCTTGGAACATGTTCAAAGTTCTCCCGGAGGTGGGAGTTGAAACTCCGTCTCACAGGAGACTCTGCCAGACGTTCCCAGCAAACCCTCACAATACGTTTGGGCCTACCAGGTCTGACCGGCATCCTCCCCCACCATCGGAGCCAACTCACCACCAGGTAGTGATCAGTTGACAGCTCCGCCCCTCTCTTCACCCGAGTGTCCAAGACATGTGGCCGCAGATCAGATGAGACGATGACAAAGTCGATCATCGAACTGCGGCCTAGGGTGTCCTGGTGCCAAGAGCACATATGGACACCCTTATGCTTGAACAAGGTGTTCGTTATTGACAATCCATGACGAGCACAGAAGTCCAACAACAGAACACCACTCTGGTTCAGATCAGGGGGGCCGTTCCTGTTGTTTACATTGATATTTATGGTTATTTAAGCTAAAGACCAAGTCATGATTATAAGTCTAAGTAAGACTAATTCATTCATACCAGAAATGGTTTGTTTAAAACATCCATCCATTTTATTTACATGCTCATCCATTCTTGGTCATGGGGGAGCTGGTGCCTATCTCCTGTGGTCATGGGTACTCCCCACCGCACCACCGCAGGTCCATTATAGCTGTGGGATCATACTTGCTGTAAAAATGAACATAGTAAGAGAGAAATTGTTTGATTTTAATGTTAAAGGATGAAAAAAAAGTTTTACCCCTAAAATCAAACACTACTTCTCTGATTTTTACACTTAATATCATTTGAATGACATTATCAGGTACAAATTTTAATTTGCAACAGGTGCAACATGGACCGTCATGGGGAACAGACCACAGCTGACTTAGTTTTTAGTGAAAAATCACTAATTCATAAATGATTGACATAAATAATAATATTATGCACTGCTGATAGGTTTATAAAACAGCATGCACATGTACAGTTATGGATTTTGAAAGATTCGAGGTGACCGAAATCTTAGATTAGTTCATCTCCCCATTCCTTAAAAATCACATGTAATCAGTTCCATTAAACTTTCAGTTGTTTAAAAGCAACACGTTTTCTAAAAGCCAGTTTTTCAATAACTGATAATTGACTTCATATTCTGATCTCACTGAAGCAATATAAAAATTAGTTTATCTTATAATTTTAATCTATTTTTTCGAGAATTGAAATCTGATACATTTAAGTAATAGTTTCAGAAGAACTGCACAATTCTTTAAACACGTGAAAGTTTAACATTTGTTCCTTTTTTCAGCTTTCATTCATTTCTTTTTGTTGTGCTGCATTTTGCAATTGTAATAAAAAAAAGGAAGGTTACCTGTTCAGCTAATTATATTATTGAGCAAAATCTTACCTGTAATTGTATTCAGAAACATATTTATGTATATGACATAAGTAGATGTGTTTGTGAGTGTCACAGGAGATCCATTTATATTTTTCAGGGAGCTTTCACTCAGATCAACTGCAGTTCAGCTCTTTATGTCGGCGGAGTGCCCGAGTATGAGAACACCAAGAGGACGGCTGGTGTAATAAAACCCTTCACTGGAGTCATTCAGAAGGTAAATACTCTTAGCAGTAACCTGCAGTAATTCAAGCTGTCCCAAAATCACATGCAGGCATCTGTCACACATGAAGTTAACAGCATTTTCTGTACAATTCCCAACAAATATCCACATCTTCCTGATGGGAACTTTTCTTTTTGCCTCCCCAGCTGATTCTCAATGACCGAACCATCCCGATCACAACTAGCTCTGCCCGTGGAGTTAATGTTCAAAATTCAGCTCACCCATGTGTGGAAAGCCCTTGTGCCAATGGAGGGACTTGCAGGCCAAAGTGGGATGGATATGAGTGCGACTGCCCTCTAGGATACGATGGAAGGCACTGCCAGAAAGGTCAGAGGTTAAAGGTTATCAAACCACTAAAACATATATTTAATTTGTACAATATTTATCAAAACAAAAATTCATGTTAAATTTGGTTCTAGTTTGCATTTGATGGAAAAAAATGGACGCTTATATATTTTTACACGTTGAGACAGCTACACTGAATTAATAATGAACACTTACATTTTCCAGTTAAAGATTTATACTTTAACAAAAAAATCAACAAATGGAAGAGCAACAGATTTATTTATTTTATGTTTGGGCTTTTAACACAGCGTTTTGGTATGCTTTTCTGTTGTAATAAAATGCCATAAAAATGTGTTTTTTTTCTTCTGTATTTGATGCTTTCGTTGAACAGAGTGTGGGAATTACTGTTTGAACAGTAAGTTTTTCTTCTTTAAAACTAAACACCTGACAACAACAAGCTGAAGTTTATATAAAACACCCGCCCCCTGTCAATAATTTAGGCTTATAGCTGCAGATGCTGGACTCAAGCTGAAGCTGCCACCTTGTGATATTTTAAAGTATTGCTGTTTTTCCTCTCTTTTCTGCCCAGCTGTGACTGAAGCCATAGAAATTCCTCAGTTTATTGGCAGGAGTTACCTGATCTACGACAACAGAGATATCCTTAAAAGGTTGGTTGTAAAGTCTCTTACAAAAATATTAAAACTTTGTCTGCAAATACTAAAAGTTATTATAGACAGAAATAAAAACGCATTGCTCATTATGCACAGCAGGAAAGAACGTCAGCATGTTTTTGTGTGTGTGTGTGTCGTAATCTTCACTGATTCACAAAGTATATATTTTTATTTCATGTTTTTTTTTTCAGAGTTTCTGGTTCCAGGACTAACCTCTTCATGCATTTTAAGAGCACAGCTAAGGATGGCTTGTTGCTCTGGAGAGGAGACAGTCCAATGAGGCCCAACAGTGACTTCCTTTCTTTGGGACTCCAGGACGGAGCTCTCATTTTCAGGTGCTTCTTCAAGAGTTCATTCAAAATGTGACACACGGTTATTAAAATCAAATAAAAATGGTTTGATATAGATAGCTTGTGATTAAGCTTTTATAGAAACTAAATTTGTTTTCATCCAAAGCGACTTGGAAGTCAGTGCTGGTGTTCATCTTGTTGGTCAGGGACAGACTGAGGATGTTATGAACTCATGTGTGCTTTCTTTTTAAATACATAGATTAAAAAAATGAATAAATAAAGGAGCCAGGGGGGGGGAAGTAACATTTTAGGAGACTTAAAAAAAAAAAAATCTCATATCATCAAACAGAGACCTAAACATCTGGTAGAAACAGTGTTTCATCGTATTAGTAAATTCTGAAAATATTTTTATTAATCTTCTGCTCCTATGGCTGAATTTATTGTGTGTGTTTTTCTCTGATTGCAGTTATAACTTGGGCAGTGGTGTGGTTAACATCATTGTTAACGGGACTTTTGGCGATGGAAAGTGGCACAAAATCAAGGCCGTCAGGTAAAAACACAATTTTTGGATCATTTACAGGGAAATGCTTTGAAACATTTGTCCTCTGAGGTATTAAAAAAAAAATAGTGGAAAAAAAATCACTATAATGCCACTTTAATTGGTGATATGTGACTTATCTGTGCTGCTGATCTCATGCTGCTGATCATCTCATGCTGCTGTATTCATTCATACCCATCTGCTCACACAGACTCATGTTCGGGCTCCATATTGTTTTACATTATTAGTCTTAGCGTATATCTTAGATCTTTTAGCGTACCGTTTGATGTTCATTTAGTGTATATATCAGTGTATATCTTAGATCCTTATATACCCTAAAAAAAATATATATATTTTTTTGCTAGTGTAACTGGGACCCAGTGTACAAAGTAGATAATTTTGTTCCACCTCATGTACCACATGCGATGCGAATGACAATAAACTTGAACTTGAAGCTATTGTGTTTCTGCCACTTGTTTTTTACAAAGACAGAACCTGGCTCAGAGACCTTGTTGAAAAATAAAGAATCAAAATAGTTGTTAATTTTAAATTGAATTAATGTGCTTGATTGAGGTCCAAACACTTTGAAACATTCAAGCTTTTGTAGGAAAGGAAAAACAAAATGTTGAATACATATAAGTACCTATGTCTGATCCAACATAATCTTTGTTTACTGATGCATGATCGTTTAGAGATGGTCAATCAGGAAAGCTGACAGTTGATGATTACGGAGCAAAGACCGGCAGGTCACCTGGCATGATGAGACAGATAAATATCAACGGTCCTCTGTATGTTGGTAGGTGGGACTCTTTGTGATGTATGTTCTGTCAAAAGCGTGATTTTGTTATCTGCATTTCCGTAGCCTCTCTCTCTCATGCGTTCTCTTTGTGTTGTTCAACCACAGGCGGCATGAAAGAGATCGCTCTTCACACCAACAGGCAGTACGTTGGAGGCTTGGTGGGCTGTGTGTCCCATTTTACTCTTTCCACTGACTTTCACTTAGCTTTGGTGGAGGATGCAGCAGATGGCAAGAACATCAACACTTGCTCCAACTGAAAAATGTTTGACGACAGACGCAGGACCACGTCTTCCCAGTGGACTTATTTGTCAACTCAGATTTTGTTTTTCTGCCACCAAATCAGTGAAAAACACTTTTTGTTGTTGTACTAAACGAGACCTGATGTATCCGAAACTCAAACTGGAAGAAGAACAGTGGCTGTCAGTTCGAGTCACGTTCATTCGCACTATAAATGTTCCACAAAGCTTTGACCTGCCAAGTCTTAAGGTTTATGTGAAAGATGAGGATTTTCATCAGGACATTACACAATACAATCTCTTTCCTGAAAGATGATAGCAACATTAATTTCATTGGTGAATGATTAAAAAAAAAAAAATATATATATATATGTGTATGAAAGATAAAAAAAGAAGAAATGTGCAAAAAAGAGGAAGAAGAAAAAGACTCTTCATGGCATTTCATTCGGATTGCTGGAAGAACTGTGATCCAAGAGAAACGACAACATGAACCTGACCTGGAGCGGATAGCAGAGATAAATAAACTTCTTTTTAAGGAATTTTAGCTTTAGTCTTAGAGGATTTATGTTGTCTTTGTTGTGACACTGGTGTTCTTGTCCAAAATGATTTTTCTTCTGTTGATAGATATGTGCTTTTTTAAAGTTGTATTGAAGTCAGTGTTATCAGGATGTCAGTTTATTGAGTAAAAATGTCATCCGAACTAAACTTTGTTTACTTTTTACCACCTTTTAGTTTACTTGCTCTTTTAGTTGGATCTAGATGTAGGTCACAGGAAATGCTGATAAGTTTAGATAAAATGTTCATGAGACTGTGTTATGGTCTTCTGACACAAATCACAGTACTGTGCACTACAGCCTTGACTTTTATTTGATTTCTATCTTATGTTACCACACTAGACAAGAAAAGGGGAAAAATGATAGAGAATGAGTTTGTTTGAAAATGTGTGTTGCTGTGTAATATTTAGGGCAGGTGCATCTGTTATTCTAAAAGCACGTTTTAACGAGTATAGCATTGTGTTTAAAGAAAACCTGCTGTTTTTGTTGTCTTAGAAATATTTTTTCCTTTTAGTTTGCCATGTTTCCACAGCAACACAAACAAACCCTTGGTTTCTTCATTTAACTGTTTGGTTGCAGTCTGTAACTTTACCACTAGGTGTCACTGCACCTCACAAAATGGACTTTAAATGTAATTATGCGAAGAAGGTACAAACTAATGTTTAAATGGGTTACACCAAGAAAGATAACACCTGTTTTAAATTAGAATTCATAGTAAAACAACTGAAAGTGGCTAAATAAAATTGTAAAAGAATATATTTAAAAGGTAATACACCATGTGATGGTGGAATGTGAACGTATAATGACTACAGTGGACCAATTACTATTTGCTTGTGTAAGAAGGAGTAGTTCTGATAAAACCTGAAATGTTATAAGTGACCTTAGACTGTAGGAAATTGTTGGTGCTTGTGTGTAACGTGTCTAAAGGTCAAGTTTGGAAAAAAAAAAAGTTTGTTGTTGTTCTGGACAGGCTTGTGTATTTCTTAAATTGAAGGCATAAGCAGGAATCATTCACCCTGACTAACTGTGTAATCATTTAAAACTAGTCATGCCTTAATACACCCTAAATAATTAACTCACATAAAAAAGAGCAAATATCAAAGAAATTCATTTTAACTACGCAATGAGAGACTGAAGTTTTAATTTATGTATTTTTCCAGACAGTATATTCTTGCAGAACTGCAGTTTGTTTCAAGTAATTTAAAATACTTAAAGTGTGCTACATCATGCTTTTACTTGCTGTTCAAAAATTTAATTTGTAATTTATTTGCAAACCAATGATTTGTTACATCACCTGTCACAAACCAGCAAATAATTGCTAACCAAAAAGCCTGCTGATGAAATAAACTAACATGTTTTTGTTATTCCACGATCATCCTTTATGGTTCTCTTGTTGCTCTTTGATTATATGAAGTATTTTGTAATACATTTTGCCTATTGGGCTTGCTGTGCTTTTAATTATATAACAATTATATTTTCATTTGCATTTAGAAAATTGATGCTCAATTTCTATCATGTGGGGACTGTGGAGAGTGCTAAAAAAACTTAACAAGTAGTAAAATTAAAGCCGGACATTTGTGAAATCATTATCAAAAGCGCATTTGGTTGACTTCACTTTATCATAGATTTGTTACCATCTGGTTAAGAAGTCATTTTGGTGACTCTTTAGTGTAAAATTATGAAAACACATAACATAAAAAACAAAAACATTCAAAAAACAATGAATTTTGTTCCATGGTGTATCCTAAAATTTTCAATTCGAATGCACACGTATAAGGAGATTTAAAACTTTGATAGAGAATAGGTTTCACGTGTTTCAAATCATGCTGTTCTGTCTATAGGTCAATTTAATCACAATTAAGGGCATTAGGTTTTAGAAATTTTAGAACAATTCAGTTGTTTCTCACATCAGTGCAGCTGTGATGTGATTCGAGAATAACATTTCTTGATGAGGTTTTGAGAGCAATGTAAACTTAACTACATCATTAAAAGAATATCGCCATTTTTTTATTTTTCCCTACATGAAACAAAGATAGCAAGTTGAATTAAACAACATTTTATGGCTGTTTGTCTCTATCACCATGTAAACTCAACATTTAAAGACATTCTGTTTCTGTTTCTGAAACAAACCTCATGATAGTTTTTCCACAAACGGCTGCACGTGAAGCAGTTTTACTTTGAAACTTTGCAGTTTCCTTTAATTCAAAACTTTAAATCATGTTGAGGTCATCCACATCTTACCACAGCCCAAGGTTAAAGGTCACTACTGCAGGATTTGCTTGTTGAATTCACCACATTCAGTTCTCTTGTGATTATGATGAATCATAAAAGATTTATGAACCAAAAAAGGAAAGGGATGAGATAATTTTATCCACCCACATAATACTGTGTTCCCATTTTCTTATTGCTCCCGAAATGTTCACATAAGTTCAAATTTTCACTGAATAGATTGATTCAAACACCATTATTCCATTTGTCAGAAACACTGTGACACAGCTTTATTTATCACCACCTTCTTCTTCTTCTTCTTTCAGCATTTCCTTCTTCAGGGGTCACCACAACGAGTCATCCTACTCCACCTCACTCTGTCCTCTGCATCCTCTGTCCTCACTCCCACTACCTCCATGTCTCTAACTGCATCCACATATCTTCTATTTGTCTTTTTCCTGGCAGCTGCACTTCTAACATCCTTCTACCGATATACCCACTGTCCCTCCTCTGGACATGTCCAAACCATCTCAGTCTGGCCTCTAAACTTTATCTCCCAGTTGTTCAACCTGTGCTGTACCTCTGATGATCTCATTCCTAATCTTATCCATATTTGTCACTTCTAAGGAGAACCTCAACATCTTCATTTCTGAAGATGTCACCAGACCATACAACATAGCTGGTCTCACCACTGTCTTGTAAACTTTTCCTTTGACCTTTGCCGACACTCTTTTGTCACAAATCATTCCTGAAACTTTTCTCCATCCACTCCATCCTACCTGGACTCTCTTTTTCACCTCTTTACCACATTCCCCATTTTCCTGAACAGTGGACCCCAAGTACTTAAAGTCCTGCACCTTTGTGACCTCTGCTCCTTGTAGCCTCACTGTTCCACCTCCTCCCTCTCATTCACACACGTACTCTGTCTTACTACGGCTGACTTTCATTCCTCTTCTTTCAGGTGTATACCTCCACCTCTCCAAGTTCTCTTCCACATGTTCCCTGTTCTCACCACAGATCACAATGTCATTTGCAAACATCATAGTCCATGGGGATTCCTGCCTGACCTCATCTGTTAGTTGGTCCATCACCAGCAAACAAGAAGGAGCCCCGAGCCGATCCTTTATGCACTCCCACCTCCACCTTGAAGCTATCCGTCACTCCTACAGCAAATCTCACCTGCTGTCCTCATACATGCCCCGTACCAGTCTAACATACTTCTCTGCCACTCCAGATTTCCTTGTGCAATATATCATATGTTTTTTTTCTAAATCCACAAAGACACAATGGCGTTCTTTCTGACCTTCTCTATACTTCTCCATCAGCATCCTCAAAGCAAAGATGGCATCTGTGGTGCTCCTTCTTGGCATGAAACCATACTGCTACTCACAGTCACCTCTTGTCTAAGTCTAGCTTCCACAACTCTCTCACATCTTTTCATCATGTGACTCATCAACTTAATTCTCCTGTAGTTGCTACAACTCTGTACATCACCCTTGTTCTTGAAAATTGGGCACAGCACACTTCTCCTCCATTTCTCATGCATTTTCTCACCCTCAAATATACCATTGAATATTTGAGTCGAACTTCACTGCCATCTCCTCAAGACATTTCCAAACCGCCACTGATAAGTCATCAGGTCAGGTCTTACTGCCTTCCCCTTCTTCATTTTTTTTCAGAGTTTCAGCTTCATCTCTCATCATTAAATTTAAATATTTTACTCAAAAACATATTTTTTAAAATTAAATTTAAGGAATTTGTGTAACTTCAATGTTTTGTGTTGGTTTAAATGCACACAAATAAAAGGAAAAGCTATAAAAATGTCTATCAATTGGTGGATCAAATTATTAAGCTACTCTAGCATTACCATTATGTTAATTAAATTTTAACATTGTAATTTCTACAAAGCTTGAACAAACTGTAATAAATAAAATCAAAGTGTTTAGTTTGGGAAAGAATATGGAAAACAAAACACTGAAATGCAGAGCAAGTAGACTGTGACAGTGCATGGAAAATGAATTAGTTAATGTGTGCCTTATCAATAATTCTGTAATCAGCTGGAACAAAACTGTCACGCAACATAGTGAGTATGAGATTATGAAAAGAAAATAATGAATATCCTGATAATAATGAATGTTGTGCACATGATGTAATAACTTTAAGAACACATATTGTGGAAATTGGTTGCAAGGTGCATCCCAACCAGTATAAATTGGAAATTTAAGCATCTGAGGCATGGTATGAACATTGAACCAGAACACTCTTGTTGTGCCTTCAGGCAGAGGATTCTGCTCAGATTCAATGCAAAGATCGCCTCTGCCTTGCCTCTTTGTCTTCTTTAACAGGGAAAATACATAATGTGTTTTGTGATTGTTTTTTTAATTTCAAAATAAGAGTTAAAAAGTGAGATTTTACTGCATGGTGACCAAAAGTTACACATTTTTAGAGACGTTCTGAATAATGTTTCATACTATATATACCAGTTATGTTTATACATCTCAGTGCAAGAAAATTGTACATTTCAACTTTAATTATCAATCGTTTACCTAAATTGAAAACCTTTAATGACTTATTAAAATGCTTGATAACACATCAAAGTGTTCTTTTCAGGCTTAAAACACATGACATCTGAACTTTGCATTACACAACCTTTTTTTTTTTTCTGAAAAGCACAACTATCACATCATTCTTTCAAAACAACTAGCATTGAGAAATCACATTTCATGGCTTTAGAAGTTATATAGGCAGAGAAAATGAATGTTTTAGTGGCATGACTCAGCAGCAGGAGTTTCTTAAAAAGTTCCCCCTCTTGGCTTTTATGTTTGTCAGAGCTTTCCATTCCTTCTGGCACCATGTTGCTGCTCGCTTTATTTTTCCTTAAAGCGCTTTGTTTTGTTGGGTGCTACCCGAATGGTGCTCCCACGGGTGCCTGTGAGGATATGATACCTCGACATGGAGTTCTGCCTCAGCCTTCATTGTCTCCCTACAGCATTCTCACCAACACCGAGACTTTTCAGCCAGGCAAGCCTATTACAGGTAAGGACTGCCGTACGGCAGAATGAACACTGACATCATTAAATCAACTAAACTCCTTGGTTTTATCTACTGAACTGAGTGCATGAACAACACAGATTTTCTGTGACTTTGTCAAAAAAGAATAACAGATATATCAAATTTGAGTAGACTTCTAATCTTTACATTATAAAATACACGTTAAAAACACCCAGCTCACCCTGTTCTTCCACGTGGGCAGAGCGATTGAGGATTCATCACCACTCATTCGTAATCCTGGTATTCTTCTCGACTCCACTCTTTCATTCGAACCACACGTCAAACAGATAACTCGGACTGCATTCTTCCATCTCAAAAACATAGCACGACTCTGCCCATCACTCACTTTCTCCACTGCTGAAATCCTAGTCCATGCCTTTGTCACATCCAGAATCAACTATTGCAATAGCATTTTGTACGGTACACCATCCAAAACTCTCAACAAACTGCAATATATTCAAAACTCTGCTGCCCGCCTTCTCACCCACTCCTGCTCCCGTGAACATATCACTCCTGTCCTGCAGAAACTCCACTGGCTCCCCGTCACTCAGTGCATCCATTTCAAGATCCTCCTCATCACATTCAAAGCCCTCCATAATCTGGCCCCTCCATACCTGACCGACCTACTCCATCACAACACTCCTTCTCGTTCCCTCCGCTCCTCCGATGCCAACCTGCTGTCTCTCCCCTGTAGGACCAAGCTCCGAATCTGGGGAGACAGTCTTCTCCATCGCTGCCCCACCCTCTGGAACGCACTGCCCCAACAGCTTTGTGCCTGCTCCGATCTCTCCACTTTTAAGAAAGAACTCAAAACACACATGTTGAAAATTGTTTTTAATGTTTAAATTTGCCCATTTAAAATATTTTACTGTGTTTTTATGTTACACATTGTTGATTTTATTTGGATTTATCTTTTTACTCATGTAAAGCGTCTTTGAGTATTTAGAAAAACACTATACAAATAAAATGTATTATTATTATTATTATTATTATTATTCTGTGCAGTATCTTAGCTCTTCTATAGGACTGCATTCTTCTGTACAGAGATCTCTGAGGTTGTTCCTGGGATCTGTTGGAACCACTCTTCCGGCTCACAGCACCAAGTGCTCCAATGACAACTGAGGCCTCGGCTCTCCACAACTTCTCTATTTCTTCAGAATATTACAATCTGTTATTGGTCTTGGTTGAATAGTTGTATATAGATGCATTAAATCTGGTTGTGTTTTTCTGCAGTGACTATCACTGGGCCAGCCTACAGAGGAGTTCTTCTTGAAGCTCGAATACAAGGGAGCACTAACGCTTTGGGAAGCTGGAAACTCCCTCCTCCGGACACCAAATTCCTTCAGGTGCACCTTTTACTATAAACACTTGTCAACTATAAAGATAATTAATCCTGAAATGAGTCTAAACTTTTAAACTTTTGTAAAAATTACTGTATGGCCTTGCTCAAACCAAATTCTGAATGACAACATGAAAAACATGTTGAAGCTTTGTAGCTGTTAGCAAGAATTAAATATGTTTTGCTCATACAGTGTGCAGGGAATCTTCAAGGTGCTGTGACTCAGTCTAACACCAACCTGAAGGGAAACTCCACCGTGTACAACTGGATCCCCCCCAACACTATGAGCCCCGTCTACTTCATGTAAATATATGGCTTTTAATGGGTCTAGTTTTTCCAAATGTTTGTTCCATTGCATAGGGCTTTCATTTACTCGTCAGGTAATTTGGTATTGCACAAATTCAATCTAAATGTAGACAAAATACATCCTGAAACCATAAATGTTTTAATTGATTTCAGTGCTACAGTAGCTCAGCAGCGCAGCGTCTTTTGGGTTAATGTGAGATCCAACACTCTGATAAATGGTATGTACAGAACAGCACTTTAAAAACAGACACATAAATAAATTAAATACATTTCCTCTTGTTATTATTTTGTTGTTGTTGCATTTCAGAGAACATGGATAATCTCAGGCTAGCTACAGATGCAGGGTCTCAAATGGCTGAAGAACAAACACTTCTTCTCTTGGTGATATGTTTGTTGGCTTTACTCATTCAAGGATAAAAACACAAAACATTTTCTCCCATTGACTTGTTTTTGACTTTTGATGTGCACTTCAAATGCAGTTTGTACTTGTACTTTAATCATTCTTTATTAGTTTTATGTGACATACTTTAAAAGCTTATACCCATTTTACATGAATAATGAATTTAGCTTTTTATAAAAAAAACAACAAGAAGGTCTGAATGTGTATCATTAAAATGTTGATATAATTTGTAATCATAGGCATCGCAACCATTATATGTGGGGGGCATGACTAGGAGGAGAGAAGTGTGTAGCATCTTAGCTTAGCAGTAACTGTGATGCTAAAACCCCACACCTTATTGTCCTGAAGCTTCGTGAGAAACATCATTTAGATGAGTAGTGTTGAACACAAGTAAAAAAGTTTAGTGGTGATGTTTTTTATTTCTTTATAAACACAAAAAGTGCCGATCTGAAGTGCATTAAAGTTAAAATGTCTTTAAAACAGCTGAATTTACACAAACTTGGTGAGAAACATGCTTTAAATGGAATTAAAGTAAGGAAATCTGGATGAAATATTGCTTTTTTGTGCACTAGTGTACACTTTTGGCACACTGGTGCGCGTGCACGTGCACACACACACACACACACACACACACACACACACACACACACACACACACACACACACACACACACACACACACACACACACACACACACCCATACACACACACACACTGTATTGTCCTCCCCACATTAAAGATGCTTCTGACGCACATGTTTGTAATCATATAAAAACCACAACAAATCAAGACCAAATGCATAGCTATAACTTCAGAAAGGGAAGGGGCAAATACAAAAAATAAATGAACAGATAGAGGGGGGAAAATGGTTTTGTGCAGAGTCCATTTATGGTGCATCATTATTGACTATTTCATTTCATGTATTGAAAAGCAAGTAATGACCTGCTTTTTCCACGTGGTTTGATCTCTAACCCAGATTTGAAGCATGACGGTGGACAGAAAAATTAAAGAGGCTTAAGACATGCACGACATGTGATGCTTAGAGCTCTTTGGGATAACAACAATTTCCTGCATCATTGAACTAGTTGAAGCTGTTGCACCCAAAGCCTGATGAGAGTTCAAAAATGTGTATTTGGTTCACAATAAATGCTCACATAAATTATTATTCTTGTTGTTATTTATATCACTATTTCTTGGTGACAGAATGCAGACGAGTACATCATTTGAAAACTGTCGAACTTAAATTAATAGTCTTAATCTAAGCAGAAAAAAACTGAACATCTTTTAAATAATATTACCATGCCATTTTATTTATAGAGCACTTAAAACAGTGCCAAGGCCAACCAAAGTGCTGTACAGACAGAACAACAAACAACACACGAATCAATATACAAAATGAAGTCAATCAGAATATGGACATAAAAACGATGCAGATAATAAATATGACGACTAATCAGTGTGGAGCATACAGGTTCAAAACACAGATCATCTGGTGTTGAAAGCTACTGAATAGTAATGAGTTTTTAAACGGGATTTGAAAACTGAGAGGGGGCCTGTCTGACAAGCAGAGGTAACTCGTTCCAAAGTCTTGGTCCTGCTACAGAGAAGGCCCTGTCACCTCTGCGGTTAAGACGAGTTCCTGGAACTATGAGGAGCAACTGGTCCGCTGACCTCAGGGAACGTGGTGGTACATTCGGCTGTAGCAGATCAGAGAGATGGGGGGAGGGGGGGGGGGGGGAACTGTTTAGAGATTTGTAGACATACAGGAGTAATATATATATATATATATATATATATATATATATTAAAAGTAATGTTAAACTTCATGAAATTGTTTACTTTTAAAACATAGTAGTATTTCTTATTTACCTCCTCTTCAGTTTTTTAAACAGCAAACATAATATTATTAGAATAACTGTAAAAAAAAAAAAAAAACAGCTTTTTTTGTCACTATTTTAAATGGAATATGCAAAGCCATGCAGTCATTAGCTAATGTGACTTTTGGATGAACACAGAATGATCTCTATTGATGCCAGCTATGTTTTGGTACTTTCAGTGGTACTCTATGGTCCTATCTGGTGAGGTATTGATCTTGACTTGCCTGTGTGCCTGAGGTTGCAGCTGTAGTCAGTGAACACGTCAGTCAGTTTTAATTTGTCTCTTTCCACTGGGTGCCAAATGCTCGCTACATGTTTAACTGGAATTCAAGCCTAGGCAGAGCAGCTGTGTTACCAGCCAGTTCAATGATAAACGAGTCATTGACATGTGGAACACCAGACCCCACTGCCTGGGTCACTCCATGCATCACTCCCTGCTGACGCTTGACAAGGTCGTTTTGTCTAAATGCCCAGAAATGGAAGAGAATCTGCAGAAAATATACAGAAGACGGAAGATGGGAGAAAATTTTTCTTCTTTTCATCATGTAAAATTATGTTGTGCTGCCACCAAAAGTAATAAATAGGCAATAAAATGTTTTGTTGTGCAGGTGTTTATGAGTGTGTGCGTTCACTTGTCAGTACCATTGCAAAATATCTCATTAACCACTGGGTGGATTTTAATGAAAAAAAAAAAAGAAATTAAAAATAAGCATATGATGTACATCTATACTTGATCATCTTTAGAAATCAACAAAATTCAAGATTGCTGCCACAGTCAACTCACCTAAGAAAACACAATGGCACAGATATTAATTGTAGCTTAGGTGATAGTTCTTATTGTAAAGTGGTGCAAATGGTACCGCTTTACAATAAGGCTCCCCTTATAGATGGCTAATAAATAGTTTATAGATACATTATTAATTCCTCTATAAGCACTTTATAAATCATTAATAATTGTTTATTATGTATTAATTAAGGGTGACTGAGACAAAACTGACAAGTTTGTTGCCAAACAGCGAGCCAAATCTGTTCATATATTTCATCTAGAGTTGTTATATTAAACATTTCAGAGTAAGTTACTACATGTAAGCACAATAAGCATTTGTAAACTTAATTTTTTTAGTATATAATATTAGTTGTAGATACTAATAATGCAGTGATAAAGTACATTATTATATGCTAAAGAAATAGGTTTACAAATGGTTATTGTGCTTACAAAGTAGTAATTTAGTCTGAAATGTTTAATATAACAACTCTAGATGAAATATATAGGTGAACAGATTTGGATCACTATTTGGCAAGAAACTGGTCAGTTTTGTCTCTGTCACCCTTAATTAATGCATAGAAAGCAATTATTAATGATGTATAAATGTTTATAGAGGAATTAATAACGTACCTATAAGCTCATCTATAAACTCATCAGGTATCTATAAACTATTTATTAGCCATCTATAAGGGGAGTGGTAAAGTGGTAAAGTAAAGTGGTACTCTCAAAACTGTAATGAAAAATAGCTGTTTATTTAACACTTTGAATCATACAAAACAAGGTGCTGTCTATTCTGATGCATGCTCAAAATCCAGTTAGAAAATCTAACAAAGTTAAGTCAGGTCCTCTGGACAGATAAAATAAAAAATTAAAAGTTGTTTAAGCGTTTTTTCTTTAATCCAAAAGACTTATAAATAGCTCCTTATCATAGTGGATCAACCAATCAATCAATCAATCAATCAATCAATCAATCAATCAATCAATCAATCAATCAATCAAGATGCTGGCTACTTTCAACTGATTTGGTCACTTTCTCTTTTCTTTTGATCAATGTCTTAAAAAATGGGAACAAGGAAAACAAAACTGTAAACATCCAATGAAATATCATAAATCCTGCCTTAGAGGCAACAAATGTCTAAAGGCATATTTCTTACATGTGCTCATAGCTAAATATAAACATCTGAGATTGGGTTGACATGAATGACAACAGTAATCTTAAACCTCATCATCTCATCTATGAATTTAAAACAGACAGTACACAAGAAAATTTGTTTTGGTATGAACACATGCACTCATTTAATTATCATATAATCAAGTTGCCATTCCCAACAGATCAAACAATCATCCACATGCATGCACCCTGTTCAGATTAAAGCTGTTCTTAGCTTTAGGGGCTTAGTTGACATCTTTGCATAAGCTCTGCATTCTTTGCCATCCTTCATCTCTCTCCTGACCCAACATGTCCAGCACCATAAAAAGCAATGACCAGCCCGTGGGCTCCTCTGACCCTTGTCCTGCTGACAGTTGGAAGAATAACAATTCACATCAACTCGCTCATGTGCTGTCTGTAATTAATTCAAGAGAGAAATGCCGGTGTAGGTTCTCAGTCATCCAGGACAAGGTAAAGAAAACAAGGGAGATTGACGTATTTTTGATTCTTGCAGAACTTTTAGTTCTCAGATAGATTTTTCACTGTTCTAAACTACAAAATGCTGAGTTTCCAAAGTGTAAATTATTGTTGGGCAGTTCACCTTGTGAGTCACTGAATTTATCAGTGGTGAAATGTGACCGAGACTAGAGCTAGGCCTGCAGTCAGGAAGTAATATTTTAACAGCCTCAAACATGCTAAAGTTTAAGACATGGAGTCACAGATTGCTTATGTCCCTTTATTTTAAGCTACACAGTCCACAGACTTGCTGAGCCGTCAGTGCTTCCCCACTTTTTATACATCAGGTACAACATCAGACATAAGGTGTCACATTTTTACAGTCACTAATAACAGCTAAACATAAATGCCAACCCATCACTAAACAGGAAAAAAACATAAACAAACAAAAAAACAAACAAAAAAACAGGGACAATCCATCTGAACAAAGTATCTGAAAATGTCCACCTGTTTCTGTCCCAAGATTACCCAGAAGACCCTGCAGTCTTTTGCATTCAAGTATAACATGTACATTTTATTATTCAGATTTAAATTTAGAAGAACCCACAGAACTCACTGTTTCTGTAAAATTTAATCAGTTTAATAAAACCAAAATACAAATGTAATATTTAAATTAATCTATATAAATAAATATAGAGGATATTTAACCTTTTCTTTAAAATAAACAAACTGCAATTTCAGTGTGGATTTTCACAGGTTCCAACTGAATGCATCACAAATCTTTACGTAGTCAAAAACAGCTGAGCCCTTGTGGGGTCTTCCCAAAGTCTCAGAGACATTGGCAATTTTAGCCTTTTTTTGGGGTTGCTCAAGCACCCCTGAAAAATGAAAAACCATCATTAGGATTTTGTAAGGAAATTCAGTTCTCAAATCTTAGATTCACCAAAATATAGAATAAATTTCGAATAAATATGGAATAAATGATGATACTCTTCAACGGGCCAGTAAAATCCATGATTTTATCAATCTAGGATTGATCTGACATGAGTCAGATCCTTGATGCCACCTGTCAATCAATCCAATAGGCTCGTTAGCAACTGACCAAATGGTGACGTCAATTTGTCCCAAACTGAAATGCCCCTTACCTGCAGGAGCTGGGTGTGGGTTGGGATGGGGGGTGGGGGGTAGAGAGCATGTTCTATTCACATAAGGAGAGCTGTTGGTCAGGCTACGTCTTGTTCTATGCTTTCTTAACGAGTTATTGAATCAAGTGTTTACACATGTAGGTAAATGTAGATGTTTAACAACCTGTTAAAATACACCAGAATGCGGAAATGGCATCTACTTTATTCAAAATGTCTAGTCGAGGAACCCTAGAACCCCCCCCCCCCCCCCCCCACACACACACACACACCACCACCACCACCACCACACACACACCATTGTGTGTACCCCCCACATACAAATGCCTTTGACATCAATGGCCACAGCATTGTTCAAGCAAAGAGCCATTGTCAGCATTGGGGGCTGAGCACCCCTAAAGGTTAGATTCTAGAATTGCCCCTGCTCAGAGACCCATATTTTGGTCCCACTCAGTCTACATCAGCATTGTGATAGGTTAACTGTCCTGTCTATTATTGGCAAATGAACTGTACTTATATAGTGGCTTTCTATCTTATTGAGATACTCAAAGTAATTTACAATCTGTGTCCTCATTTACCCATTCATACAGCACTCTACTAGATCTATACAAAGAATAATCACTGTTTTATCACCTTCATACACCAATGGGACACACATATCGGGGACAATGAGGGGTTCAGTGTCTTGCCTAATGACACTTCAGCATGTGACTGTTGGTGGAATCGAACCCCCAGCTCTTGCATTGGAGGACGACCGCTCTAACTGCTCATCCACAGCCACCTCAAATACACTGTACCATACATATGATACAATAGATACAATGTTTTTTTTTTAAAATTGAAGATAAAGTATTTTTAGGGATTTTTTTGGGGGGTGGGGGGAGAAGTTAAATATTTTGAATATTATAAAATGAACAAAAAGCAAAAGTCACTTCTCATCATTCCCAGTTGAGTTGAACATTTTGGTATAAGGATGGTTAAAATAGCACAAAGTATGAATGACTAGTTTGATTGCAAAATACATTATAAACAGTAAATCACCAGCATGTGAATGCTGACTCAGCATTCATATAAAAGTGTAATTCCGGACAGACATTCTTGTTCAGTAAAAACGTGTTGAGTTCAGGTTTGTTCCAGCTAAATAAAACATTTAGAAATATGAATAAAACATAGAGATGTGGTGGTTTACATTCAAGAAAGGGAGGTTGGAGTGTTGTAGTAGCTGATTGTATTTCATTGCTCTATTAATAAATTTAAATAGTCATGAGCATGTTGGGTACAATGTAAAATAGAAGCATGTGTTTAATATGTACACATTTATGTCTGAACATTATGCAAGGGACTATGATGATTTGTAGGAATCTACATATGTCCATGTGGCGTTTTAAAACATCTGATGGATTTCAGAGCTTATGTTGATACTTGTTGCAAACAACAGCCAGTTATGTAAGAACGTGGTAGTTAAAGGGTTAGAGCTCAGGGCTGAGCCATGAAATGTGAGGGTGGGAGACAGACTGATGCAAAAAAAAGGCTGTGTCACAAAGCATCATGGGATACGAGTGGGAGAGGCACGGCATTAGAAATATACGAGGTTAGGAGTCACCCGTTTCACAGATGACCAAAGACAGCCTGCTGATTCAGAGCACCGCTGGTGTGAAGGGTGAAGAGACTGAAGATGACCACCGAGTGGACTGACGGCCAGTGAGGCACTGGAGCACGTGGGGGATTTAATGTTCTGGAGGATGTAATCATTTCCACTCAAATATTATCCAATTTTAAACAGCAGAAAAGATGAACATTTGGAGAGCATACGATCATCTTTTATCCTATTACATCAACAATTTGGAATCATAGCCACATCATTTAATGCATAAAAACTTTACTTATTTTTAATGGCGTTTCAACTCTGGTTGAAAGAAGTGGATTACAAACTGAAAGAGCAGTTGCATCCTGCCTGCTTGGAAATCCTGAAGAGGTGTTTGGATCATGTAGTCTACTGAGAAGATGGAGCCTGAGAAAGCCTTCACCCAGAGCAGCTTCTTCAGCAAGGTGGATGTGCCCGACCACGCTCACTATATTGTTGCTCTGTTCGTCTTCATCATCGGGGCACTGGGCATCACTGGGAATGTCCTGGTCATGTTTGCTTTCTACAGGTGAGTCGTTTTGCTTAGTGTGTTTGCTATGTGTTGGAACGAAAAATCTTCAGGTTTCACATTTTGTCATCACAAGAAAAAGTCAAGTTTTAAAAAAGAAGCATTATTTTGCTAAAATGCAATCAGTCTACAGAGGTAAAAGATGCTCATCCCTACATATAAAGCAACACAAGTAGAATAAATTGTTTAAATACGTAAATATTTTGTGCCACCTTGAAAAAAAAATGAAATGAAAACAGACTAGATCAACTATCAGTGTAAACATAGTTT